CTATTCAAACTGACTAGGCCTAAAGTTCGAGTCACCCCCCAACTCATTTCTAGTCTTTACTTCCAAAAAGAGAGAATATTTTCTATGCTTTATATGATAATTTAAAGCACTTTACAATATTCTTTAAATGCATTTAGAAAACTGAACACTAATTCTGTCACCGCTACATCTAAAGTCCACCTCTTACATAGGTTGCCTCGTAGAGGGGATAGTTGTAATAGTTGCCATACTGACAGGCGGGTTGGTAACCGTATTTTTAATTTTTTTTTTGTGGTATTTGTGATGTTGCTACTGCCCTGGTTCTCCTGGTTTGTTTCCCTCTGTCACTTCTTACAAGATCAATAGGCCGATATGAGGTAGTGGATAATTTTACATCGCCACTACACACCTATACAGCCAGCTAGGTAAACAGATCCTTATGGATTTTCACTAAGAATAGATAGCTTTTAAAACACCATTAAATTAAATCCATTGTCACTATCTACATACATCAAAGTTTTCCTAAAACCTTAAAATGATCTTTTGTTCCGAATTTATGATGCATACATTTTTAATATAACATAACACATTAGTTCTTTCTCTTTAAAGCCCATAAATTATTCTCTCATACTGTTCACGCCTCTCCTCTCCTGGATGAAGTATTTTTTACGCCATAAGTCCATGACCATAACTATATAAGCCAGTGCTTGTCTACTATCCCACCTGATGGTAAGTGGTGACGCAGCCGAAAATAGAACAGTAAACAGACTTAGCTTGACAAAAGCCTATTCACTCTTGCCTTGAAGACATCCAAATTATAATCGGATGGAAAGACACATGCTGGCAGTTTATTACACTTCTTTGCTGTACGCATTATGAATGAAGAAACAAAGCGTTTGGTTCTAATTCGTGGTATGTCGATAACAAAGTAGTGGAGACCAGCCGAGCGTCTAGTGGTCCGATGATAAAATGGAGAGAACGACGAAATAGGAGTATAGATCTTTTGGCCATGGTAGAAGACGTGTTTCTTCGTTATCTAAAAAAAGAACTTTGGTTACGGTTTTTGGTAATAAAGTGATATGTTTTTAGTCACTTCCTCCAAGAACATAACTGCCCCACACTACTACGGAACGTAGTACCAGACGATTCGAACGTTTACGTTGCTTCCTGTAGCTGTTCTGGGTATTTTACATCTGATATAAATATATGATAATCGTCCTGGCACTCTACTAAGTTGCCTAATAACACACTTACGGGTTGACATGAAGTGATAGATTTTCTTACGCCTCCATAAAACTCACTTTCATTGGAAACAATAATGTGTGAAAATATACAAAATTTGACCTTCTTCAAGGTAAAAAACTTTATTATGCCAAGTTTGTATAAAAAGGCATCTATAAATTCCTTAATATCATTATAATATTAAGGAATTTATGATTAAAAATAACCAGTGAGAATGTCACTCCCTGGGTGCTGTCAACTGTGTAACATAGATTGTAAGCTGTTACTATTTAAACAAAACAGTGACTTATAATAAGTATTATTGGAACTAAGTTCCTTATCGGACGGTACGGGTTTGGCGGATGGGACAAAAAGTGTACGATTTATTCGTCACAACCCCTTGTGTCATAGTGTATTTTATTTTAAATGACACTTCATTTTAATAGACGCTAGTAATAAATTTATTTGTATTTGTTAATCAATAATATAATACGTTTATCAATAATAAGGAACTTTGTTCCAACAGAGTGTTCCACGACACTCACGCATGTTTTTATAATCTATATTGAATAAAAAAGTTTCTGTTTCTGTTTGTGTTCCTCTTATTTTTTTTTTCAAAAAAGTTCCACTGTATGTCTTGCTGGTTCTTACCAGGACAGAGATTTTTATATTGAATAAAAAGTTTCTGTTTCTGTAATAATTTTCCTCTTCATCTTTCTCTTCTCTCAGTTTCCATAATATGCGCCGGTCTCGGTAGTTTGCATGTGATGGGAATAAGATGGTGTTACCGCTTACTATCGGAAGCAATGTGATATGTCTGGCATTTTCCATAGTCATCTAATACGATATCCACGGAATGAAATGACTGACTGACTACATTCAATTTTATAAAAAAAGTTATTTACTACCCTAGGCTCAGGGGATAAACGACCTTTTACCACCACAGATGAATGAAAATAAAATTTTTCACATATGTATAAAGTTCGCCAACACGCAATAGGGTAACGTGGACCACTTTTATCTGCTCCAGAACCCTCTTTGAAATAAAGGCAACCGTGTCCAGAACATTTATAAGCTGTTGTTCATTTTTTTAAATGTACTCGTATCTTGAATAAAACTTCAGATTTCTATTTTATTTTTGTATCATAGAATAAGTAATACGGCATGTTTGTATGTAAAAGGGAATGCCATAGGCCAGCGATATTATACTCATGACTTAAGTGCTTTGAAGCATTAACGGCTACAGCTGCGCAGTTCACCTGTGTATACGTAGCCTTAATTTTAAATAAGGTATCAAAAATAAGGTATTTCACAGTATTAAACAACATTAAAACAATTATTTCTAAGTGAAAATGTCCTAAGAAGTATATTACGTATGTTACGTAGATAAGGTTTATATATAATTTTAATTGATTACGATAATTTATAATTTTTAATATATACATTACTGTTAGATACGCTTTTTCTAACAATATTTCACCTTCCTAGAATGATTAATTAAATCTGTAATTTATAAATTTCTAAACATAAATCTCCCCAAAAATTGCTATATCTGATATTATTTATAAATACTATACACAAAGGGGGATTCTTGACACAGTTGCCACGCTTGGCAGTTAATAATAATAATGTCCTCCAGACCAAATTTCGGTCACGTCGGCCAGTCTCAACGGATACCTGCTTGCGCAGATGCGCAGGACAGGATTATAGTGTCCAAGTGTATACGCAAGCACAGGTGAATTTTATATTCCATCACTCATTATTCGGTGGACCTGCGGCTTTACATGCTTTCCGAGGCAGGGGGTGAAACGCCTCCAACTTCCTGGCTCCGAACTGCTACTGAGAATTTCTTGACAGAAATGCGCAATAACTGATCTTGGCCGAAATTTGAATTCAGAACCTCATGATCAGCAAGTTTTCGACCACTAGACCAACGAGATAGTGGTTATCATGTGGTCTGCGTTAAAGCAAGACAACATGAGGAAACCTGCGCACCGGAGAAATACAATGTTTAAGTATATGTTAAGTCCACACCACGCAATAGAGAGCGCGTGAGACAAATTGCTCCACAACCGTCTCTTGGACGGGAAGAGGCCTGTGCCCAATAGCGGAACTTATGTATAATATATACTGCACCTTTAATTTTTTAATATTTAATCGCTAAGTCAGCCTCTGTTACCAATTTGCATATATACGTTTTTTAAAAACCTAAATTTTAATTGAAACATTTATAGTTTATATTGACACAAAAATATTATAAAAAGCAATAATTTAAAGGTACATAATACTTAGAAAATGCATGACAGACTTTATTAATCTATATTACATATAAATTAACTAAAATTTCGAAATAACTGCTTTATATTGAGCTGCAAGGGGTATTTGCATTAAGACGTGAATAACCATTTGCAAAATTTTTGTCATTTTGTGTGTCTGTACGACCAGGCTAATTTTCGAGAGACGCGAATATATTTATTACGGTTAAATTCTAAAGCAATGTATGATTTTAGTACTAGTGCTGGATACTCATTATGTTGACAGACAATTGGTCCAATCTGTTCCCAGTCTACATGAAAGAATGATAGGCATTGATATATTTTTAGTTAGTCCGAATGAACATAAAATAGACATCACTTTAACCTTCAAACAGCTGCCATGCATCATGAAGCTAACTTGTGTGTACTACATAAGTAGCTTATAATTATTCTCATGGTTAAACTAGAATCTGTTTCATGATAGAAGTCCTGCGAAAATATGCGAACTAAATAGTAATGTATATATAGAACTTGACAGCAAATGTCAAATTTCGCGAATGCTGTAACATCGCGAGTAAGGGACCTCCCTTCGTGAGAACCACTCCTTATAAACCGTAGTTTAAGCCTAACACTGTTAATAAACCACGTGTTTTTTAATAACACGGAATGCGTGAAAAGAAATCGAAAGTCGATGTAGCATTTAATTGAACAACTTATTCGGATAAGAAATCGAAATTTGTTTTCGAAACTAGTCGAATTATTCCAAATACGTAATCAAAGACAAACGTGTTGAATAACTAACCCCAAAAGATAAAATCAAAACCGAGTGTGACTCGTTTCATTGACCACTTTATTCGCCAAAAATATGGTAATATATTATGTGATCCATTAGAGAATAATAATGAGAGCGTCAATGCGGGCACCGTATATGGCGGCGGCACCACACCTTCACGATACGGCCCGCGTCCGGATCGTTACGCAACTGCGCATTATTACGGTTGTACACAATTTTGATTTCATATCGAAGCATATTACATCGCTCGCAAACGAGAACGGAGTCTCAAATGCCCACCGTCCCCCTCAACGCCGGCCAAGGCAACCTTTCACATCTACTTTCGGATGTGGTGCAATAATCTACTCGACTGCAGGGCGATATAACCAAAAAAAAAAGGACCAGTTGCATCACATTCGTGTTTTATTATAAAAAATAAAAAGCTATCTAATATACATAAACATAACAGTCGCAGTAAAAAATACTCATTTCGAACAACATTAACACAGTGCCCTAATAACAAGTAGCGATGAGTGGCGAGGATGTCTGAAGTAATGAATCGTATATTACGTATTCACCTGCGGTCGAATGCGGGAAGATGACTATGTACAAGGCATTCGGCCGCAGGACGTTGGCAGTAGAAACTAAAAGCCTGCATTGATTCGGCCGCGAAGGACGAGACGCGGAAATAAGCCACTGAAAACATGGCCGTTCAGCAATAAATATGAATAACTCCTCTTTTCACCACTTTAGCATAATTCACTGATTTGAGTTTAGTGGAGAGGTCCAGCAACGTGGCCGGGGGGACCGTACTGAGTGCTAGTAGCACCACCGTGACCGTCGGACCCACTGTCGTCACCACCGCTGGCTCCGAAACTAGCACCGATGTCAGCACCATGACCGGAACCACCACCAATGCCAGCGCCGCCTTCGATTCCGCCACCGATTCCGGATCCACCGCCAAGAGAGATAGCGCTAAGGTCACCGCCGCCAATAGATCCACCTCCGATAGAACCGCCGCCAAGGGCACCACCGCCCAGGGCACCACCTCCAATAGCACCACCGCCAACAGCTCCACCTTCCCTCTGGGTCTGGTATTTGATGAAGTAAACTTCTGGTTTCGAAGGGGGCGTGGAGGCTGGGGTAGGGATAACGATGTCGGGCTGCGGCTCGGGCTTCTTAACCAAAACATAGACGAGGGTCTTCTCTTCGTTTTGAGGTTGGACGGGGATGATGGGTGCCACTGGGGTGGGGGGAGTCGGGGCCTTGATGAAGATGATCTTGTAGTGCTTCTGAGGAGGCGCAACAGCTGGGATACGTGGAATCCTCTGCTCAACGGGTTCTGGAGGAGGCACGTGGACGTAGATATGCTTCTGGACTAAAGGTGCACCAGAATAACCGCCTGCGTATCCACCGCCAAATCCGGCATCACCGCCAAATCCGGAGTCACCGCCTAATCCAAATCCACCACCGATGCTGCCACCGCCAAGGGAAAGTCCAGAGGAGAATCCGCCTGAAGATAGTCCCGATTGTCCGCCAAATGATATTCCACTAGAAACCGAACCAGAATGTCCACCTGAGATGCCTCCTAGGGATGGAGCGCCATAGCTGCCAGATGGTGTAGAATATCTAGTAGGGGCTGAATAGCTGTAGCCCACTGGAGGCTCTGGGCGGCCATAGGCTAGCGCCACACAGGCGAGTACCTGTAACAAGGAAACATAAGTCTTACAATGTAGTTTGAAATGGCATTTCCCTTACCTTCATGTCATAATTACTTTAATTTTATTTGAAATCTTTCTCCGTGTTTTTAAGTTCTTTTAAGGATTTGTAGCCTAAAATTTTCAATCGCCGTAGTTATTAGTCCCTTTTTTATTATCAAATATTTGCTGACCCGTCAAATTGCTAATTTTTCAATGGCGCATGGCGCCTAGGATTTGGTAAATAATCGCAAATAGTAAACAATTACTACAATTTTATGATGCATTAAGTTAAAAATGGCAAAAAATATATTTATTGAAAGACTTGCCATATAAACTAACAACTTTCAACAAACTTAAAAAATAAAGCGCCCAGCTTATATAAGTGTAAACATCTTATAATAAACAATTCGCTGAGCAATAAAAGGAGTAAAACATACTTTTGTTGTCATAAATTTAGCAATACTGTTGAATATAAAAAAAGAATATAGATCTGTACCAATAGATTAAGAAATGATGTTGGATGACGTAAGTAATAATTTGAGATGGACCGTATGCGGTAGTAACGAATTTGAAGTGGTCTGGATTATGCAATTGGCGAATAAATACTTAGAGTGTTGTTGTTGTATGGAATACTGATCAGTAAATTACATTTACTGACATTTCGAAGTCGCAATGTAAGGAAATGGACTCGGTGAAATGGAGATCGCACTCGAGTTGAATAACGAACAAGTTCCCCTTTTGTGAAGTCACAAAAAGAGAGACCTGTGAATTTTGCGTTATCTGTTATTTTAAAAGAAATATTTTATTATCTTCGAAAATAGAAATAGTAAAATGATGAAATATTATGTTTCTATATCAAGAAGCGTTCGTATTAATATTTTAAATATAAAATATCGATAAAAATTTTTGTTTATATAAATAATTGCATCCTGCACTATTTTCATGAAACGAAATAAAATAAAATTATATTTATTATTCGATGCAATAAATTAAATTTTCGTTTGCAAGACGTGATTTTTCTTTTAGATGTACTATATACCTACCGTTATTTATTTTATTACCATAGGAATTCAGTATTCTATACTATTAATATTATTATAAATATTTAACTCTTTTGTCCCAAGGGTCATAAAAAATGGATATAATATATATATAAGACAGTACATATATATATATATATATATATATATATATATATATATATATATATATATATACATACATACTGTCTTAGATAAAGAACTAATGGGTTGACCATTATCACAATTCACTAATAGGAATTAATTTATCTTCACTATTTGGCACACCATGACAGTCCGTGATCACTGAACACTTCACTTAAACTTCTTGATTCCTGAAAATGCTTACTATAATACCAAGTGCAAAATATTTCAAATCATCGCATGTGCCAAACAGAAAAATTAAATCCAATACACATAATTATTTAAACAAAACCGCCGCAAGCAAAACTCACCACGAAAGCGCGCATATTGTGCGTGGGCCGAACTGCTTCAATATATTAAGGACCCTACTAGATGCCTTGCTTGTAGTTACACTGTATTGAACAACTCCGCTTTTCGGAGATGTTCCTGTTGGTGTGAGCTAGTGTTAACTGATGACATTCGCCATGCCGACCCGCTCTTAAATACCAAATTGCTCATCTCGTCAGAACACTCCATCCCTACGAACATTTCACTCGGTAACGTGCAACTATCGTCATTATTTAACAAGTATACGGTCCTTTCTTTTCGACGAGGTCCGTGGCTGCCGCGGCGTGCATTCGACACGCTGCCTTAGCATCCAACGCTCGCTTCAACGCATCGTATTGCTTGAGCTCGATAGTCTTTACAGTTCATATTAGCCCGCACACGCTCTACGTTATTGGACTCTGTCGAAATACATGTTTTTATTTTTGAGGATAATACTTCTCACTATTAGCAGCGAGACCGCATACATTCTCCTGTACGTGGTAACGCGCACGCAGGTGACGTCACCGATTGCATTTAACTTGTATTAACGTAATTCCACAAATACTATTGCATTTATAATTCTTGAAAATATTTTTAGTGTTGTAAATTTTTAACGCTTTTGTAATAAACATTACAGCACGCTCAGGGGTCGTAAAGCGCCTTAGTTATAAGTTTCGAACTCTCAATAGATTTGTTCAACCGGTAAAAAGTTAATGCAATTTCCTTAGAGCCTTCGACCATTAACGCCTTTTGTGGCAAACTTCGCGATTTTGTGATATAGCTGATTGCAAGCGAAATAAAAAATTGCAATTTTTTAAAAGATTGTTTGCATGGAGCAGCGCAGAGCTTAGAGATAAGCAAATGGCTGGTACACTGCGAACTGCAGGTTCGATTCCCGTATGAAAAGCAGGTATAACGTTTAAAATCAATCCCTTAATTATAAACTTATCTCAATATATAAAAATCAATTGTTGTCAGTTAGTCTCGCTAAAACCCGAAACTAGCTCGATCGAGATTCTGATGAAATATTTTGCGTGTTTGAATGGGACCCTGGATGGTTTAGATTTACAATTGGGCCCGGTAGATGGAGCTGCCGACATATATATACATGCCCAATGTATATGTATATGTGTGTGTTTAGGCATAGTTATGTTTAATCATGTTTTTGTTTTATAGTAACATATATAACATAGCAAAGTATAGTCATCATAATACAATCAGTTGTGAAAAATTCGTAAAAGATTCTTTTCTTTTCTGATCTGTCACGATTTTTTTTAATGAATTTGTATTGTTTTTATAGACTGGTATGATGGTAAGTGACGAACGCTGCCTATGAACAACTGCAATACCAAAGGAATTTCAGGGTGCGTTGCTGACCTTTCAAGCAGAGATTGGCTCTTTTCTTGAAGGTCCCAAAGTCGCAAGGTCTGGAAAAATAGCATGTGGTAGCCAAATCTACAAGGAAATTGTACAAGAAAGAAAGCATTTAAATGTAAATTATCATCAAAAAAAATTTTATATGCTACTAAGCCAGCGCTTATCTACAATCCGACCTGATGGTAAGTGATGATGTAGCCTAAGATGATTAAGCGCACTGACTTAACAAAAAACCTATTCACTCTTGCCTTGAAGACACTGTAATCGGATAGAAAGACAAATGCTGGCAACTTATTCCACCCCTTTGCTGTACGCATGATGAACGACGTGGCGATCCGTTTAGTTCGAATGCGTGGTAAGTCAACAACGAAAGGGTGGAGAGTGGCGGAACGTCTGATTGTCCGATGGTAGAAGGGAGAGGGAGGAATTAAGTTATGCAATTCCTGCGCACACTCCGAAATGCATCCTGTAGAAAACCGAAAGGCTGGCTACTTTGCGTCAGTGTTCGAGGCTGGTAAGATTGGTTTTAACCAAATTCGGGTCACCAATAAGCCTCTTCGCACTCCTTTCCATTGATTATGATATAAATTATGTCCTATAATAACTTTTGATAAAAGGTACCTTATATAATACGATTACAATGAAATTTTATCTACTTAATTCGATTTTTAATAATTGTGAATATGAAAGAGAAACAGAAACTTTTTTATCCAATATACATCATAAATTATACTTATTGAAAGTCACTCTTTTGTTTAATTACCACTGGTTCGAAAAATAAACCTCTGTCCTGGGAAGAACCAGCAAGAAACCCAGCGGGACTTTTTTTACATAACAGCTTACAATTAGGGTATGTTACACAATTGACTACAAAAGAAATTAGATATAGCTTGGTAGCGATCACCTTATTCCCAGGGGTTATTATTTTTATACAAACTTTGTTTAATAAAAGTTTTGAACTTTAGCAGGTCAAATTTTGTATATTTTCTGGGATTTCGTTGTAAAAGCGTGTACCTACATAGCCCCAAGAATGAATTACTTACTCGGTGGAGTCGAGTAACTGGTACTACTAACTTGTGTCTGTTACTAGTTTACGGAATGAATAACACTTATTTTTGTATAACTACTTTTATTTTTGTGTACGTACATTACAATTTCATAAATGTATTAAGAGGCCAAACTTAAAGTATTAATTTCCTTAATTTTTTGTCAGAGTGACTCTTTAGGTTTTAAACCATACATTACTCTTATGGCTCTCTTATGTAAAACAAATATATTTTCAGTGTCAGTCGCGTATTCCCATAGCAAAATACCATACGACATTATGCTATGGAAATAGCTAAAGTAAACAAGTCTAGCTGTTTCCACACTGGTAAGATTTCTAATCTTTTTTATAGCATATGCTGCAGAACTAAGTCTGCCTGCTAAATTTGCGTCTAGTGTTATTTCAAGAAAAATGGTGGTATCGAAAAGACTCAGGTTCCTCCCCATTTAAAATTACATTAGTATTTAATTGTTTGACATTTGGAATCATGAATTTCGTACATTTCGTTTTAGTGCCATTTATGTACTGGGACATAATATATTATACGTAATTAAAAACAAAATCAATTCCGTAGAAGGTCTCTAAAAAGTAAAAACATTACTGTGCAATACAGGATCAGGTTATTAAGACCAACAACTATCGGAGATAAATCCTAAGGGATGGCACCGTCGACGTCTGTCGAGCTTGTCGCCATCCCGGTGAATCACTTAGACATGTCATCTCGGGTTGTTCAGCGCTTTCTAACTCTGAGTACAACCTAGTAGCCGGGATTCTACACCAGGAGCTCACTCTGAAATGCGGTGTCGTGGATCGGAAACTGCCTTATTATAAGTACATGCCGAAAGCCATGCTCGAAAATGACCGCGCCAGGCTCTACTGGAACCGGGTCATCATCACAGACAGGACCATTCTTGCGAATAAGCCTGATATTATGCTGATGGCCGAGGTACAGTCAAGGATATTTTTGGTCGACATTACCATTCTGTATGACGAGCACCTTGTGAAAGCCGAAACAGATAAGCGAACAAAATATCTGCACCTAGCTCACGAAATTAACCCGTTCGCAGAAATAACTACAGGTATATTATTTCTGCGAACGAGTTAATCCCAACTCAGCCTCTCGGGTCATCTGAGGTGACTGGGACACCGTGACGGACCGCTCCAAGCTCAAATGCAGAAGGCGGTGCTCCTCGATACCGCCCGCATCATCCACCGGTTTTTTTTCCCTTTCTTCCTAACCCTCGGCCGTTTGGTCTCCCCTGCCGAGGGCTTCCATCTGGTTGGGTTTTTATTTATTTATGTACTTTTATGTATTTACCTGATTTTATTGATATATATGTATATTTATCATTTTCATTTACATTTATATAATTATACAGCCCAACCAGATGAGAAAACTGTATAGTAATAATAATAGTAATCGTGCATTCCTACCGATTATGGATGGCATCTTTGCGCGTTGCGTTATATTACGTCAGCCATATCTTTCGTATTAAGTGCAACAAGCGTACTCAACTCCATGACATAGTGCAATAGGCCTATGATACATGGATATTTAGTTACTGACGTTTTAATAGCGCGCTGCTATGACATGATGGTAAAATTTTTATTATACATCTTTGTAGACAAAGTCGATAAGAATCAAATGGGTACGTTGACGTTAGGTGAGGGAGCGCCTCTCGGAGGATAGTTGCTTTGATCTATTTACATATTTATTTCTTATTGCATTTCCAATTACAAAATAATACAAAGGGCAGACTTAATGCTACTAGACATTCTCTGTCAGTCAAGCCGTGGAGTGGTGACAGTTTGAGGTAGGTGTAGCAATATAGAGAAAAAAATAAACTAAATAATATTTGACAACAATTAAGTACACAAAGTAATGTAGATACGCAACTACCTACATAATATAAATTTTACAGATAAACATTTATCTGCAAAATTTATATAATATTAATGCTTTGTGCTTTTGCAGTATTACGTCTTGTGATGCTACGGGTCTACGGGTAAGCTGTGTATGATTCGATTCTTGAGTTTATGTTCGATGAAGCTATGCTGGTGCAGATACCTACTGAGACGTATGGCCTTCGGGGGGCGTGTGCCCGGCGATAGTTGTATTGATGCTTGTTGCATTCTGTGATATTGCGTTTCCACGCTCTCTGTGCTTTGGTTGGGCTCACACATTCAGTTGGATTAATGGTAAAAAAGTTTCATTAACTGAAATATTTAACTAATCAGTTGAAATAGTAGAAAGTAACCATGTTTTCTACTCGTACGTTTAATGAAGCTTTAATAATGATCAAAATTTTAATGAAAAGTACAAACCAACATCAAAACTAAAAGTACATAATTTACACATAATAGTTACTAAAATTGGGAGTTTTCATTTTTTGATACGCTGTGTCTTAGAACAGACTTTATTAAAAGTTTCATTAGTTAATCCTTCTGAGTGGCCTAAAAGTCTAATGGCGGCTTTTCACGTTGGCCAACATAGTGGCGAATGTGTTGGCAGAGATATTGGCCAAGAATTTGTGATCGCGACCACACGTTGGAAGGTCATTCAGTTTGCTTTGGTTCAGGCCAATGTGCGGACGAATT